TCTTAAAATCCTCATTCCAACTCTCTCGAGTCTTATAGGCGATCCTCAAACCCGAATTCGAAACCAGATACTAACCATCTTGATTACATGATCTAACTGTTGGGAAGTTTCTCAAACTCCCAACGATGAACTCCTCAATCCATCAATCACTGTGCTACTTCCTTTCCTTCTCAGAGGTCGTGTATTCATTCTAGATCTGTGTGCTCTTACTCTTGTACACTCGGAGGGTTCTCCCCTACTTTGATCCTGCTTATACTTCGCTGCTCAATGCTTGAGAGAAATTCCCAATCTTCTCTACTATACCGCAGTCAATCTGCTGAAAATCCCAAGCTTGCCACAGCTAGGGTTCTAAATAATCAATCATTCAATAACACCTTCCTGAATCCAACGGACCACTACCGAGTTGAACACAAGCATGTTATAGTTACTGCATCCTAAGTAACCTGCTTCCATAGGGCACAACCCCCTAACTACCATTTCATTATCCAAGGTATGCAGATGGCATATAACTAAATCACAAGTAATCCGCTCAATTCTAAAATAATTATACCAATAACGATGCAGAACCATAACAATATAATCATGAATAAAGAAAATAGAAAACGGAAGACACACACCTGCAACGTCCGGAGCTTCTCGTGTATCCATGGTAGTCATCTGAGAAGCCCTGCCTCCTACCGCAGGCGCCTCTAGTCGGCCCTGACGGCCATCTATGATCCTTAGAGTTGCAGGGGCAGGTGCTATCACCCGTCATGCCAGAAGCAAACAAGGACACTGGGCCTTCTTGTGGCCCCGTTGACTGTAGTGGAAACATACAAGGTCCGATCCTTGTGTGGTGGTAGCAGTACAATCTCTGCTAAAATGACCAGTCCGGACGCACTTGAAACAACCTGAATCTCCACCACTACCACTCCTACACGCTCCCTCGTGTGTCCTGTCGCACCTCCCGCATCGGTCGCGGCTCTGGTAACCCCTCGATCTCGAATTTGACCCCTTTGGCTTTTTACTCGAACCTGTGGCTACCTGAACCTCATCCGGCTTCCTCTTCCGGATCTATTCTAAATCAATCTCCCTCTCTCTAGCCCGAGCGATCATATCCTCCAACGTTTTGTAGTTGGACCTGCTCACAAACTGCCTGATGTCATCCCTCAACATCTCGTGGTATCGGGCCTTCTTCATCTCCTCATCTGCGACATATTGCGGAACAAGAAGGGCCCTTTCCCTGAACTTGGCAATGATCTCCGCCACAATCTCAGTAGTCTGCGTCAAATCTTGAAACTCTGGTGCCAACTGTTGCACCTCAATAATCGGTGAAATCTCATCCCTGAACATGGATGAGAAATCGCTCGTTGTCATCGCGTCCAATGTGGCATCATCACCAATGGCATGACCAATCTCCTCCCACCAATATCTCGCTCTATCGTTTAGAAGACGTGAGGCGAGTCTGACCTTGTACCCCTCGGGACATCGGCTCATACGGATTGCATTGGCGACATCGGCCTACCACTTGCTGCTAGCAATGGGGTCCCTGGCCCAATGATAATCTAATGCTCCGCAAGCTCTAAACTCTCAAAATGTCAAGGTACGCGCTCCTAACAAGGCCATCATCTCGGTACGGAAGGCTCCCAGCCTCTCACCCAAGATCTCCAGTATACCCTCCTTGACCGTGCCAAAGATCAAAGGAGTCTGATCTAGTATGCTACGCGTAACCTCCGTTGATAAAAACTCTGTCATACGCTCCTCGAGCTGCTCGGTCCCTGAACCTGAGCCTAATCTCTCTCCAGTGCATGACCCGCCCACTGGTCTCTCACGCAATGTCACCATATTGAACTGCTGAGGAATCATACACACAAACACACTACAAGTTTCCCGGTCTCATCTCAGCCTTTCACGTATCAAGTACGAATCATCTTCTTTCAGTAGTACGGGCCCATACTACCTTCCACATCTATCCGTACTTTCCTCAAGAACTGCTTCGACTCCACCAGGTCGCTTTTTCTACTACCACTCCTCCCAGCATTATCTCATCCTAGGCTTACCCTAGGGAGATCTCTGACTCCACCAAACCAGTCCTCAGCTGCTGAAGGCCTCTTTGCGATGCCAATTATCCATCACCTGAATACCATCACATGTGAAAAGGATCAAATAATCCTTCGAGTAAAAGACTCATCCCTACAATGGTTAGACTCAAATGAGAGCTGCACAATAGGGCCAAATCCAGCACTCTGAGATTATTCAACCCTGATCACATGTGGCGTGATGTATTCACCTAATGGCTAACTCCCATCACTCAGAACCCCATAATGCACAAAGCAAGCAACATTCAGATAATGGAAAATGTAACCATAACATACTTAAGCAATCATAATCTCATATCAAGAATATGTACTAGCATGCAGTATAATCTCATATACTCAGGCATAACCTAAATAGGCTACCCTACTACTATCTAACCAGTACCATCATGAAGCTCAAAAGCACATATAACAGGCACATAAGGCATCCTCCCTAGATCCTTAGTTCTAATCTAGCATGTATTTCTACTAATTGATAATCATAACATAAACTAGTATGGGTATTTTGGGGTACTTACTTGAGCTCGGTTGACTGCATGCACCACACCCTTTTTCTCTTATCAAAGCTCTTTTCGCTTTTCTAAAATTGTTTCATTTCTTAAACTCTTTTTAAAAAACTGACTTTTCATTTTTAAAATTTTTATACCAATCCCTTTGTTTGAGTTTAGACACACCCGAAAGTATGTCTGAATTCCTCAAACCAAGGGTTTGATACCAACTTGTAACGTCCCAAAATCAAGACTAGAAATTTTCTTTAAACATTACTAAAACCAAATTTTTAAAACCCATGTCATAATTCATAACATACATTCAGATTATTAATTCAAAACATATTCTCATTATCAGAGTAAAACATCACAGGCGGTCTAATTAATGGAGTGTGCCATGCAATCACACCGAGCTCTTCCCTCCGCTACCGGAAGTACTTGAAACCAAAACTGAAAACCATAAGCACGAAGCTTAGTGAATTCCCCAACCAACCACATACCCTGCATAAACACATATATTACATATTGGGCCATGCCCGCTATTTCGGGCCTCACCCCTACCTCAAGCCTTGCCTGCTACAACAGCCACGCCGCTCCAGGCCCTGCCTGGCTTCGAGCCCTGCTCAGATACCGATCTGTTTCTATTAGGCCCCGCCTGTCTCGGGGCCCCACCCGCTAATCACAAAATACAAAAGAGCATATAACACATAACTGAACATACCCTAGTGTATTCCTGTCCTAAGGTCTCGCCTGTCATGGGCCTCGCCCCTATCCCGTTACTAGTGAGTCATGGAACCCCGTCCAAGCTCCTATTGTAAGTGAGATATCCCCCCCATACTCACTCCATACCTATCTCGGGCCTCGCCCCTACTCTGCTACTAATGAGATATGGAACACCATCCATACTCTGCTATTGGTGAGATACGGGACCTCACCCACACTCACCTCCCTACCAGGCACATACATGCATCACACAGACAGCAAGTATACACTATCATGCCACCATTGCTTGGGTACCCGCCCGAAATTAGACCTTGGTCCTGAATATCATAATAGAAAACAATGCCTAGGACCCATTCACACATGGGCCGACATTGTGGCCATAGACCCATTCACACAAAGGGAAACTCACCTGCACTGCTGAACTTTGCTGGTAACCCTCTGGCTGCTGACCAACAATTCTCTGAACCGCTGCTCCACTAGCTCCCTGAGCTACCAATATCAATATATACATATATCACTTAGATCCAAACTGAACTCTAGAAGCCAACTAAGTCCACTCTAGACAAAGTCAAAGTCATGGTCAAAGTCAACCTTCCTGACTGACTCTACTCACCAAGTCAATCCGTTGACTCATCGAGTCCTTATACTCAGAAACTCTCACAATACGCCTCAACTCGCTAAGTTACCCCGCCGACTCGTCGAGTTCAACAATCTCTGAGTCCCATCCTGTCCAACTCACTGAGTCACCACTTAGCTCACCGATCTAAGTCTTAACCAGAAAAGGTTGAGGTTCTGCGATCCAACTCATCAAGCCCAAGAACAGACTCGCCGAGTCCAAGAACAGACTCGCCGAGTCCATGGAAATATTAAACAGACTCTCCGAGTTGTTCTTCCAACTCATCGAGTTCCTGCCTATCTTCATCCAACTCACCGAGTCCACCCATGTGACTCGCCAAGTAGCTTCAGTTCTTAATCCATACAGTGGCTTTTCGAGCCATGCAGGGGCTCCATCTTGTAGATCCACTCTTCCACAGTCTATTCCTCACATAAAGTTGCAAACTTTTCGTGAAACCAAGGAGCTATAGGCTTAAAACACTCTAGGGCTAGGGATTGAGGCAAACATGCTTTACCAACACACCAAAAGCTGATACTTTATGGGTCTCTGGGCCAAGACACACCTAGATCTGAAGTAGCAACCTCAGATCTGGACTTCTAACTCAAAAAGGCTCCATATCATACCAAATTGGACACAAAACATCATTCACGAGAAGATCTAGAAGCAACAAAGGCAATGTGACAGATTTTTACCTTCAAACTGATGCTCACAACAAAAGGGTTGGATCCTCCAGCTCCTTAGTGGTCAAATCCTCCAAATCTTCCTCTTGCAAAAGCCCCAAACTCACCTTCTTCCTTCTCTCACTCAACATAGGGTTTGGAATCGTGTATAACAGCTTCTGGACGACAAGGGGGCTAAGGAGAGGACATAAGGTCCTTTAAATAGGGTGCAAACCCTCAGATTAGGGATTTCCTCGATTAGACCAGACTCGTCGAGTCCACTTGCCGATTCGTCGAGTCGGTCACTTATTCCATAACCCGGATCCCGCTCCTACTCGTCGAGTTCACCTATGGACTCGACGAGTTGACCCCTTGATTTAGGGTTTGCCTTCCTTTCTTATTCTTTCTAATTATGGGTGTTACACCATTTTTGGTGGTGATGTTAACTTTGGATATTTTACCTTTGGGCCTTTCCATGTTCTGAAATAAAGTGACGATGATGCACCAGTCACTCAAAGGAAATTCAAGGTTATCAGTGAGAAGCTGGATTCATTGATTTAATCTTCCAGTGCTTCGTCAAGTAGTGCTTGTTCTCAAGAAGCAGTCAAGGCCTTAATCAACACAACATTAAAGGAACATGCTGAGAATCTGGAGAAAGTGAACAAAGTTGTGGAGGATTCAGCTGCCACATGCAAGGAAGCAACCAAAAAAGTCAATAAACTAATTAATGATGATTGGTCCTTCATGAGCGCTTTTCAGAGATCATTCGATTCAAACACTACGAAGTCGTACGAAGTTATTTCCAGACTTGGATCCTCACTTCACACAGAGAAGGAAAAGCTCAAAGAGGTTCGCACTGGCCTCCAAATTGACAATGTCGAGCTCAACTCCTCCATCACATCCAAAATCGTAAAGCTTCAAGATGACTTGGCAACTGAGAGTACAATAATGGATGCTCTCACACTCAAGATAGAAAAATTGAAGGTGTTAAATGTCAAGCTTGAGAATGCTGAGAAGAAGATCAACGAGCTCTTATCTGAGAGAGCTGTTGTAACAAGTTATGTTTCTGCTGTAAACATGTTGCTTTCCGATCTATTTTAAACTAGAGATACCTTAATCCCTATTAGTATTAGGAAGCATCTGATAGATAAGCTCCGGTCCGCGTTCGCAATGTTAAACAAACTTGAGGGTGTTTTAGAGTTTAGCTCACTTCCGAAACAAGGGGAGAATCTGAGAAGCCTCCATCTACGAAAGAACCCAAGAAAGATGGTGAACCGTAGAAGACAAAGGGATCTAAATCTGAACCGAAGGGTAATATAACTTCGGGTTCAAAAGGAAAAGTGAAAGTGTTAGATGATGATGAGAAAGAAGAAGATGAAAATGAGAAACTTAAACGCAAAGCTCGTGATGCCGTCTTAGATGAAAATATGCACATTCTTAGAGAAGCAGAATAAAAAGAAAAGGTTCAACATGAAGCTCAAACTGCTTTAGCTGCTAAGAAACTGTTATTTCCTCCTTGGTCCTTAGAGCGAATTTTGAACGAAGCAGTTGATAATTCGATCTTTCATTGGTTGGAGCCAATTACATCACTCGAACTGGAGAACAATCTTGATTCGCAACGCGATTTCCACAAAAAACCAAAAGCATTCTTATTTTGTTGTTTTGAGGTAATTATAGATGCTCCGGATTCTGATGCAAACATTGATAAGTCCCTGATGACTTTTTACTTGAAGCATGGCAAACCATAGTTCCAGATCTAGAGTTCGCAGAAGATACAATGTAGTCAAAGTTATTGAACCTATTCTAACTGAGAATTTTGTTAATGTTAAATTTAAAACCACTCGAGGTTCTGCAAATTTAGTGTTTGAATTCTCTCTTCCGGACTTATCATGCTTCAATCCTTATGACTGGATTATCCTGTTGCATTTCATGATGCAAGAGGTGAAGAAATACGAACCCATTATTGCTCACATCAAAATGGTGCTAGTTTCGTATATCTATGAAGTTGCGAAGTTTGATGTTGAAAGTTGCGAAGTTTGATGTTGAACTCGCTTCGGTATGCAAAAGAAACCAACAATCCTTCCCCAAGGCTCAGCGAGTGATATTGAGAAGATGCAGATGGGGAAAATTGAAACTGACAACTTGAAAGTTATGTTTCAGAGAGGTTCTAAAGAAATAGGAGATGTTTAGAAATGTATGTTCGCACTGCCAGACAAGCATTTGTTTTCTACAGTTTTCTTAAACTACATTTTGTATATCACAGGCAGTTACAATGCAAATAATGATGCTGCGAAGAAGTGTTATTCAGACATGATCAGATAGTACATAGCTTTTCGCAGTACTCTTCTTATTGTTATGCCCAAGCTTTTCAAGACTCAGAAGCGAACACAACAGTGAAGGTCTCCATCCCAATTGACATAAAGGGGGAGATTGTTGGGTATGTAATGTTGCATCATTATGAGCTTTTGTATAGTCTATTTTGTATCCAGGTTGGGTCTGTCCACCGGTGATTTATTATTAGGATTTAGCAATTTTAGGTGCATGCATGCACCATATCTAAAAATCGTTTAATTGTATTGTAAACCCTACACGCCTTTGTAGTAGCAATTCTTAATCGAGCTCTTCTAAAGCTGTGATATTTAATCATTTGACATAATTGATATTCATTCTGTGTGTTCTTAATCTATTTATATGTTTGAATCTATCGATCATTAGAGATTAAATCTAATCAGAAGGAAAATTAGAAAATCACCTTTTTACCCATCAATGAATGTCTATTAAGGGCATGGTAAAAAAAGGGTAAAATGCCATCAATTTCGAATCCTTAAGGAATGTTGATTTATAATTTTCACCTCAAAAGTAAAATAAAAAAAGTTTGGTCGGGATCCGGTTCAAATGCAATATACAGTAAACAATTTTATCTATTATCCACATTTGGCAGCAATATATTTTACCTCTTTTCTCTAATTTCATCAAAAGATTAACGAAATTAAATGGTTGCACTCTTACTACGTGAAATAATAATGTTACATGTAGTAAAATTTTCAAGTTACCTGAAGTTTTTTCCAGTTGCAGAAAATAGAAATTCAAAAAAAAAGACTTTAATGCATGCAACCATCACAATGGTGGGGCAACTTTTAATCTCCCTGAATCGCTTCACATCAAATAGATGAAAAAGAATCAAGAAACAATAAAGATTTGTTGGATATTTGATTAGTATACAATATGAAGAAAAAATTAATAGAAATGGAAATAAAAAGCTAACCATCATCCATTTCCTCATTTCATAAAATTCCCAAATGCTATGAGGATTCAAATATATGCAAGCTCTAACTTCTGATGTATGAAAAAAAGCATAAAGGAAGATGAAGAAACATGATTATCATCAACAATGCTCGCCAAAACACATAATAGCTAATAAAAAATAAAGTTAATTTAAGCCATGGATGATAGGCACAATTAAAAAGAAGAATACAATCTTAGGTCAAACATTAGTGAAGTTGCATACGATATACATAAGTTACTGGATGTATGAAAAAGGCACATGCCCTCAGTTCTGATGTATAAAAAATCATAGAGAAGTAGAAGAAAAGATAAACTAATTTAATACCTTAGCATCGACAGCTTCTTCATTCGTCTCCCGAAAAGACGTCAAAAAATCAGTGTAAATACATACACAAAAACAGATACACACATACACATAGGGAGAGAACAGGTGGTGATGGTGACAGGAATGAACCACCAAGAAACTTAATATGGCGTTAGCTTACTGAAATCAATCAGAACTTTACAGAGAATCGGTATTACGTGGCTAGAGATAGATGGTAGTCAAAGGCGGAGGACGTGAGCCCTAAGAATGCGTGAAGTGCGAGTTTTGATTTATTACAATTTAAATGATTCTCCCAACTTTAAGAGCCTCCATAATGGATAGTTTGAGAGTTAAATGAGGTGGCATGCCTAATTGGCATTCAATAGATTAAATTCTATCATTGTGGGATGTCATGTTGGTATTCAATGAATATGAAGTTCAATGACCATTGAACTCTACAATGGGAAAAGGAAACCGTTTAACTATTTTATATATATATATATATATATATATATATATATATATATATATATATATATATATATATATACACACTAGGAATATTTACGAGCTGTGATAAGCACGACCCACGAAGATTTCTTTTAAAAATTCTATAATTGTTGGAATACGGTTGTTATTGATGTTGGTCATGGTGTGTTCGAAACAACTCACTTTTATATATTAGGGAATTATAGTATCATATTTTTTTTATTAGATCATTATACTTTAAAAGAAGATGGATAAAGATATTTTACCTCTTGTAAAATAGTCATTGCATGACATATTTACAGTACTTAAATACCATGCTTAAAATATTAGGGAATCAGATTCCTCGTAGAACATGACTTCATGTCTAGTTGATAAAAAATAATGTCGGCCCTGTTGTTCACCATTGTTGTGTGTTTTGTTTGTTTCTCTTTTGCTAGTGAGAACTGAGTCTCTTAATGTATGACAGCAAATCCAAACGACTATGATTCATTGTTACATCAATGATATATAACAAATCTATAATATATAATTGTACATGTAATCTCCCATATGTTCCTCTTGTTACATCGATGATATATAACAAATCTATAATATATAATTGTACATGTAATGTCCCATATGTGCCTCTGGTGTACCTTGTGATGTAAAATTGAATGAGTAACAACAATCAACATTTTTTCTATGTATATAACAAAATCACATAATGACAAGCTCTTATCTTTTTATCAAGACTGAATTGTTTATCTAATATTATGAACCTTCAAAGCTTATGTGTACATAAGTAAAACAAAAACACAATAGCACATCAAGCTCTAGGTCTTACGTAAACATTCAAAAATCCATTTAGTTAGGTAGAAAAACTTATAGTTAGAATCTGATTTGTATTCTAAATGACTGATATTACATTTAACCTTGGCACATAGTTGAATAGGGAAAAAGTTGTGAATATTAAATTTTAACTTACTTATTCAAGTACTTGTTAGTCTTACATTTCCACTGCTTATGAGCATTATTCCATAAGTAAAAATCAGTTTGAGTTTTCTGACATCATATTTATCCTTTTAAAAAATAAAGATATACCTAACCTTGCAGCCGCTTCTAAACACAAAAAATTGCCAGAAGTTTGTTGGCTTTCCCCCAATTGATCATTTTTTACCAAAGATTTAACATATTCTTTAAGAGATGTATCCTTGTCCAAATAATAATGGGTTTCCAATTATTTTGACACCGTCCAGATCATCATGTTAATGCAATCTTTGTGAAAAGTTGTACATGTTGCTAGAATGAAACCTTTTGAAGCTACATGGCACCTTGCCAGCTTCAGTTATACATAATTAACTATCATGTAAATTTCCTATTTCTCTAACTTTAAGTAACCCTAATTTCATCATTTTCGTTCCTGATTGTTTTGTCAGTGCACGCGAAGGAAACTTTCAATACAATCAGTTCTATCAGATTGGGGGAAGGGAAATCAACTTGGAACCAGAAGGATGTAGAAGAATAACCAATCCCCATTAACTAAATAAGTGATGGCTAGATAATTTGCATATTTATCTTTCTCATCATATATTATTTATCCAAGTCATGTAAAAGTCTATACACACACATAATAAAAAACTACTCAAAAGCATTGGAGGAACCGACTCAGAAAAATTGTTCAATTAAATAAAAAACCTAATTAGCACATTTACCTTCATGCATAAAATCCCAAATTTTTATTAAAAAACTACCAACATTACAGAAACATGAAGCCATATTTGGAACGCATAAATGAGAAAAGTGAAGGCAGAAGAAGAAAAGAAGGCCAAAATTGAAAAAGAACACCGACCGTTCATAGAGTTTCTGTACGAAATATAAACGTCATACACTTAGGTTGCATAAATTTTCTTTTAGAGCATACAGTGTGGATCATGTTGCTTCTTGTTGTGGCTGAGTTGGCAGCCCATAACGCCGTTATAACATCAAAAACAACCCCCCCTCCCCCCCTTCTTGTTGCATCTTGTTGTGGTGTTTCTTGTTGTCT